GACCACATTTTCCACTTTGGAATTGACAAATTGCGTGTGGAGTCGGGTGTTTAGCTCAGGCCAAAACAAAACGTAACAAAGCGGTTTGCCGTCAGCGGAAGCAGTTCGGTCCCAAAACACTCTGGTTTTCCCAGAGCTTCCCACGAAAAAATGAGAGGCGGATGTGTTGACCCAAAGTGCCTGCCTCTGGAATTGATGATCTTGTTATGCCAAAAGAGCGAATAGGTGGGTCAACCTGAAACTTGAAGCCGTAGTCTGCGGTAGGGTTTTTTTTACGTCCCTTGTTCCTACTCTAGCGAGTGATTGAGCTGTGCTGTTCTGTAAAGGGGAGTGTATTATGTGACTTTAACGTTTGAGCACAAAAGGAAAAACCCAGACTAACTGGTACTGTCATGCGTAAGTCGGATGGACACTTAAACGACAAGCCGGCTCTGCTTGATCAGATTCACGAAGAATGTTATAAAATGTATAATACTCTTTTCCAAAAGAAAAACAGCAAATATAGACTTTGCCCTTTGACAGATTGCACTCTCGATGTCTGCTATTCGATATTCTTTAAAGGTGCATAACTGTTGGGAAAATAATTACAACCCCAAAAGATATGTAACGACAAGAACATGTCCTTTCATTTTATAGTTTTGCGCAGTGTTTTCTTGAGAGGTACAAGGGAAGTCCGGTAGAAATATTTATTATCGTCGAGGCCAAAATAGATCAGCATCAATTATTCCTCAAGAAATCCAGTATCCGTAAGCAGCGAATTAGCCTTCAGCTTAAAAATGATGGATATGATAATATTATGCCGTCGCTGTCGGTTGAAGAAAACCAACCTGTTTGAAGTACAGAAATCAAACCCGTTATTGCCAAACTATTGAAAACTATTATTTAAAATGTCTGGCTAAATATAGGGGCCTCTGCTATTATCAGTCCTTTCGGAGATTAACTTTAAACTCTGCTGTCCCGCTTCTTAAATAACCTTATAGTATTGCATTTCATTTTTTGGTCATTATTTTGAAAGACCCCAAAAATGTCTACCCTGTCATTAGTTTTTGTTCTCACACCTCGTCTTTTTTTCCTTAACATTTTAAGGACGTAGCGGGCTACAAGAAACAGACCAAAGCAAGGGAGATACATTTTGAGATACGTTTTACACTGGAAGAAATTTTACATTTAATTCCCTGAAATAAGCTTATACACGTAATTCACTGTAGGCTCTTGTATGTTTTTATATAGATTTTACTTACACTGAGCTTTGAGATAAGTTTTACAACAATTAGTACTGTTCAGTGGACTTGAATTTAGAGAGAAATGTCATACTGACATGCTCGCTGAAACAACCAAGTTGTATTGGGGGAAAAAAGTGGGTCGAGAGAGCTAGGATATTTAAGCTTGAACATTATTCAGACTGTTTAAGTATTCGTGTTTGGTCCACTGATCAAAACCTCCATCACATCCGTCATAAATAATCAATCGATTGTTAAACCACCTGTTCACTCTCCAGGCTAGTGCGGTCAGATTAGCTGGAGGGCGAGGTCCACCCAGCAGTCATGGAGAGAACACCATGAGGTCCGGGAGTGTATCAAATGATAATAATAATCATAATAATAATCAGAATCATAATCATAATCATAAAAATACCACTGGTAATGGTAGTAGTAATAATCGTATTAATAATAGTAATAATAATAATAATAATAATAATAATAATAATAATAATAATAATAATAATAACAAGCAGACACTATTTGCAGCGCCGCGTTCTGATTAGCTCCCATGCTATTTGAAAAGCCGCGTTCTGAATAGAGCCCATGCTATTTGAAACGCCAATACTAGGCCTAGTAGCCATCGTTTCTACATAATAATATTGTAGTTTTGCCTTATTGTGGAAGCTTTCTCAGTTTCTTGATAAACCTACTAGGATTTGGCACCTTTTAATACGTTTTCTTATTCAGATCAATATTGGGTAGATCTAGATCTAGATCTAACAATTGTTTCTGACACTGACATTGTTTGCACAAAAGTAGTCTTGTTCATCTCTCATAATCATAATCATAATCATTTGAGTTTCAGTTTGAGCAAGTTAGTCAAAAGACGCTTGGATAACAATAACAAGACGGTGCAACTCGGTCTAAGCACTATGATTTTCTGTCCGCAGTGTAGTCATACAATACCTAAAAATAACAATTAGATCTATCTCTGAGTGCACTTTATATTTTTGCCTTCACACATGACGTCGCCTGATCTAGATTTCCAGGCTTCGACGTTGAAATTAGCAGGGGGTAGTGTCTACATTCTCTAACGTTAGGCCTAGAGAAAGTATACAACTGTCAACGTTCTCTAATGTTCAGTGCTTCCAAGCATGGCATTGTCCCGGAGGGGTTTTTTTTTCTTCTCCTGAACCTAAATAATTTATTTTTTTAAAAATAATTAGACTCACAGACCAAGGAAAGCCACTATTGAACTTTAACCAGGCCTAAATTGGAAAAAGGAAAAGTATAGACCTACTTTGTTGGTAAAAGCTCCTCTTGCGGACAAAACCAGAATGTGCATGCTTCATCACTACATAAAAAAAACTACAAAGCAACAAGTTATAATTATGGGGAAACATTGTTGGTCAGTCGGGAAGAGGAGAAAGAAAAAAAAAACCTTCGAGGACCGGGATTCGTACCCACGCTCATAATATAATGGTTTGACTTCAAACACAGACACGCTGTCCATTCGGCCATCAGAACTTCCAACAACGAAGCGTAGATTAAGCCTTATATATTTAACACACGGCGGTTTATTTAGCACTGGCGCTAATCGCAACGCGGCGTTGCAAATAGGCACTTCCTAGAATAATAATAATAATGATAATAATAATAATAGTAGTAGTAGTAGTAGCAGCAGCAGCAGCAGCAGCAGCAGCAGTAGTAGCATAATAATAATGATAATAATAATAGTTCTTCTAAGGCTAAAACAGCACCTATGGATTGCTGGTGCCCCTATAAATAAATTGTTGATTGTCTAATTGTTCATCTGTCAATGTCTGACGATAACCGATGTACATGTATTTGCGGAGAACAATATTTCTCAGACGAAATAGAAGAGATTGAGATTACTTGCGATTCCTGCTATAGCCGATGAGAACAATTCTGGCAGGGAAAGTTACCTCATTTTTAGCATTCAAACGTTCCACTTAAAGATGTGCGCAGCTTTGAAGATTCTTTTTTGGAAAACATCTTTCACTCTCACCTTATTAATAAACCTATTGCCTATATTGCTCCACAGAGTCGGACAGCCGTCGTTCAACTCGTCGCTGTTGCGGACTAAACGAGTGGTTGGAAGTTGGAGGGCGCCATTGGTAGGTCCTATTTCCTTACTTTCCTCCCTCTGTTGTTTCTGTTTTTCTTTCTTATTTTCCCCCCGCACTAAATGACCAATATTGTGTCGATGTGATTTTCTTTACTCAAAAAAAAAAAAAAAAAAAAAGCAAACAAGTCGTTGTTGCACCCTGAATTTTTGATTGATTATCTTTACGTCTATTAATGTGAATGCCGTCTGTATTCCCTTGAGCCCAGTCTGGCCCTGACTGTAAAGGTAGAAGTAGCCCGCGTCCTAAATATTCTAGATTGAGTCGATAGGGCTGTAAAATAAATATACATTATTCCATTATTATATTGATTCCTATTAATATATGCATATGTATATATATGTATATATATATATATATATATATATATATATATATATATATATATATATATATATATATATATATATATATATATGTGTGTGTGTATAGTATAATATATATATGTATATATATTATATATATAGTATTATACATCTTATATATATATATTTTATATATATATATATATATATATATATATATATATATATATATATATATATATATACATAAATATATGCATTGTGTATTAGTTGTATAGTCATGTATAGAGACGAACAGACATCTCAACTATTTTGGAGCCATTCAGAAATGGTGAAAAAGCACCAGTGCTCAAGACTGATTCCAGAGCCAAGTTGTGAACCTCGTGAAGGAATTGTCAAGGTTTCCCACCCACTTTTCTCCATCCTATTGAACATGGGCATTACCTTAATTAAAGAAACCACGTCTTTTTAAGTAAACATACAATGTTTATACGTTCATCGTCCCCACCTACTCTTCCCAGTATACTAGCTTTTACTTTCTAAATTCCCGAAGGAGACGAATGTTTGGATGAGCCGCATGGGAGTCTGTCCCACAAAAAAATGTTTTTAAAAAAAAGCGTATCTGGCCTTTGTCGCCTGAGCTAAATAGCTAGCGTCTGGGTCGGCCTGTAACAAAGTGCAGGCAAACTTCGTGGTGTCTGATGTCTCGTTGCAAAAAGAAGCATCTCTTAGGATACACACCACCGCCCATAACCACATTTTAGCAACAGCGTATCCCATGTTACAAAGTGAAACTGAAAGATCTTATCAGCACTAAGGCCGGATCAGGCTCGTGCTGCTTGCTTATTTAGTCTGGGTCGGAAGGACGACAGCTTGTCTCCAATTTGTTATCACTTCTGACCGTAGTAATGAGGATGAAAGGTTCGGCAGCCCATTAATATGCATATTTAATAAAGTTAGATGTCGGTAGGCCCTGTTTGGGACGAAACACGTGGTTCTTTCAGTCCCATGGAATAATCCCCACCAAAAGCCAGGTCTGAAACCCGAAAGCCTATTGAAGCTATTCTTTCTTGTGAGCTTGGAAGAGGCTATTAATTAAAGTACAGGCATGATAGGCCGGTGGTTGGAGGAAGCCACTGGTTAAAACTACTTCTTCCTTTTCCCTCTGTCTTGCTTTTTCCCCAGGTCTAATTGACTATTATTGTGTCGATGTTCTTCTCTTTACTTAAACAAACAAACAAGCAGGCATGATAATAATTATCATCTGTGTCCCTTGTCTGCAGAAGACGTACACAAACCTATGAACGTCGCTGGCCAATAATTTCGACGGACAGGGCTTTCATGTCTCCTCGCTTGCTAATTTGTTTATTCTTTCTCCGGCGATGTTTTCCTTGAAACTTGAAACTAGGCGTCGTCCGCCCACTGTAAAATATACATTCTGTTCTATCAGCTGCTCTCCGTTTTCATATTGTACCCGTCCACTCTCTGATGTCTTTTTGTCTGGCCACCTTCTTTGTGGCCTTTCTCTTGATTATTTGCCCGTTTTTTTGGTGTCTATTCAGTCTCTTTCTTTCATTCTATCGATATGACTTTCACATTTCTTCCATGCCCCCCCCCCCCATTGATTAAAGACTGCAATATCCCCACATTATTCGGAGTGTCGAGCTAGTCTTCCAGAATGTTTTGTGATGGCGTAAAGACATTTTGTAGAAGATATCACATTGTGATGACCTGGTACAAATGGCACATCTCCCTAAGTTGATTCTAAAAAGACATGGAGAGTGGTGCTATATACTGTCTGCCCCATTGTCCCCATTCACTGCCGCAACTAGGTTTACCTTTCAATACCCGAACTCAACGCAATAGCATCGATCTTTCCTTCAAAACCCGGCTTCTCCTTTGAAAAGCCTTACAACAAGCTTCGAGCTGAATTATTAGTGCGACAATCTGAAGAAGGCGTTGTCTCTACCGGGACACTGTTAAACTGTAATTTGAACCGCAAGACGGAACTTTGCGTCTTGACTTGCAGGGCTTGAGTGAGATGTTTATTTAACATGTAACATTTTATTTGACACAATGGAGGCTCCTGCCCCCAACCCATTCCTTCCTGAATACACACGGAAAGGTCTTCTTTACTTCTATTTGACAGGGTGAGTTTAAAAGAGCCGTCATGCCCTAAAGATACTGTTTTATCTGAGAGTGTCATCCAGTGATTCCTCCAAAATGAGTCACCCTGCCCTTCTGAAAGGGGTATTCACGACTTTTATAATACAAATAGAAAATGTCATCAATATTAAGAATTGTTAAGGTAACTTACGTTGTTATGGCTGGTGACTTTCTGCTCTTGTGTAATCCTAAATTTGTCAGGAATACAGTGTTGGATAATCCATCAGCTGAATATTTTTGTGGACATTCTTTTCATAATGATATTTAAAAACATCAAAGCTCTTTAATCTATCCCCAGTGTACTATTAATTCAGGTCGATATTATATACGTTTTACTCAAAAGTATACGAAACTAAATGATAGCAACAATGATGATAATGATAATAATAATAATAATAATAATAATAATAATAATAATAATAATAATAATAATAATCGAGATAGAAATAATAACAACAAAATGATAATAATGATAATTATGATAATAACAACAACACCATAATAATAACAATGGTAATAACAATAATAATAACAATAATAACAATAATGATAGTAAGAAGAAGAAGAAGAAGAAGAAGAAGAAGAAGAAGAAGAAGAAGAAGAAGAAGAAGAAGAAGAAGAAGAAGAAGAAGAAGAAGAAGAAGAAGAAGAAGAAGAAGAAGAAGAAGAAGAAGAAGAATAGTAATTATAATAATGATAATAATAATGATAATACGACTATTAATGAAAATGATAATAGTAATAAGCTTAATAATAATAACAATAATAATAATAATAATAATAATAATAATAATAATAATAATAATAATAATAATAATAATGCTATTGTTATTATTATTATTAATAATTATAATATCATCATTATTGCCATTATCGTCATTATTATTATTATTATTATTGTTTTTATTATTATTATTATTATTATTATTATTATTATTATTATTATTATTATTATTATTTCATTTATATAGTGCAGACCTACCCTCTGCAGTATGACTATTCGTTTAACTATTATTATTACCCCAGCAGACACTTGAACACGACTTCGAAACATTGTCGGTTTCCTGTTAGTGCAAGCTGCTGATTACACTCGTTGTAGCACTAACAAACTAGCATGATTTTTTTCCACTGTCTATTATGGCTAAATACCCATACCCACCTGGGTGAACTGAGGAAAATTAATGTAAAGTATCTTCCTCAAGATTACAACTTTGGACTCGATCCTGATGAAATTCGAACCCAGAACTTTACGGTTGAGAGTCTGTGAGACCAGCCACTAGACCACCAGCAGTGCAGTCTAGCTTTTTCTTAATTCTTTTTTCGGTTGTCACAGCCCATTTGGAAACTTTAGTAGCTCACCAAGTAAAACCCGAGACATGCTAGCGAAACACACAACATTAAAGAGCATGCATGGATCTAATAGTTTTCGTTTCGGGGTTTTTTCCCCTTCAGTTAACTCGTCGTCTTTGGGATAATTTGTTCATTCCTATTAGGATGTCGAACCCTCATAAACACGTAAAGAAAATTCAACGTAGCCAAGAGATGGAAATGAATTATACCAAAATAGATTGTTTAAAAAAAGTCTAGATCTAGATAAAACTTGAACTGGAAATTCAGATCTGTCTGTTTATAAAGATTTAACAGCGAGAAAATAGTTAAAACAGGTGTTGTTGAGTTAAATTGAAACAAACAAAAAATGTTCAGACATTTGAGCACTTAGGGGTGTCTCCCCAGAAATCACACTATGGCTCCCCCAAGAAGTGACAACAACCCCCAGACGTTGAATAGCTTTGGACGTACCCCCCCCCCCTAATTAAAAAAAAACGCCAAAGAGCGACAACAAGAAAGTGGGTTAGAAAAACACTAATTTTTTTTAGCTTCGAACGAAAAAAAGCAAGAAAACTAACAGAAGAACAAGAACAACAATGTATAGCAACCGTTGGTAAGCTTCGAGGGCAAAAACAACACACAAAAAAACAATACAAAACAAAACAAAACAAAACAAAACAAAATAAAATAAAATAAAACAAAACAGAACAGAACAGAACAAAACAACAAGAACAACATCCAAGCCTTCCAGCTCAAAGACCCCAGCGACGGACCCACCAGGATGTTTATGTCGCTTCGTGGTGGTCCGCATGTGGTCAACAGAGGTGCAAAAACCCACACGCGCTGTGTGGTGTACACATACCGAGCTCAGACATGCTCCCTGTTTATACTTTGGAGATGGATCATGAAAGAGATAGCTCTAAAAGTGTTCTATTAAAAGTATGCGTTTGCTGCTCAAACCATACGGAGTTCTTCGTGGGTATGGTGTTTGATTTCTCAACACGAGAGTGTTATTTAGGACGTTTATTCTGAAATTCCTTCACAATCACAGGCATCGGCTGCATGTTTTTTCCTTATCCTTCGAGAGTTTCTGTCGCGGCCATTTCGGTCTTCAGGTATACAGATAAAATAGTTTTACACCTGATGTCTTACACAATTTTCTTCTTTTTCTCATTGGCACATCATACTCAC